ATTCCCTCGGCAGTGCCGTTGTCCGTTCCCCCGCCTGCTCATCGGACGGCCCCTCGCCCTCCGCGGGGTTCACCTTGGACTGCGTCCAGGTGGTCCCCGCGAGGTATCTGCGCCCTATTGCCTTGCGCAGAGAACCCCCCCCCCCCCCCCTTCGCATTCATCTCGAGCGGCAGTGCCGCCGAGTGACCATGCGTCTGTCGTCGTGAGCCGCGGAGTGGCCGAAAGGCTACAGGCTGGCGCCCGCTGCCCGCGAGGGGGAAGCGGCCGCGACTAAGCGGCGGCCCCGCTGAGGGTGGGGGGCGCGCGCGGCCGACGGCAATCCCACCCCTGCTCATGGGGGAAAATGGCAGCGGCACATGCACCATGATGAGCAGGGGAAAGATGGGGGGAAGAGTGCGATGCAACGCGCGCAAGAACAACGTGAACCGGTCTTGCTAACTCGCACGTGTAATCTTCGGCAAGCTTGCAATCCTTACCGCGCGCATCCACGCGTGCACGCGCACCGTCGCACTTCCGCCCCAGACCATTGGTAACAATGTTGGATGTTGAAGCAATGGTCCACGGCTTCTCCATGACATTCCCTTTTTATCTTTCAATGCATACGCACATCCGTGCAACGCTGTCTTATGCAACCCTATCTCTCTCACAAATGCTTTCACTTGACGGCCCCTTCAATACTGACACTGACTGGGGCACTCAATGCAAACTATACCCCCCGCATCAACGACGGCGCGTGCAATCTCTCTGACATCCCAACAGAGATGTCGAAACTCGTTTCGGATTCCTGAGAGACTTCGAAGAGACCTATGATCACCTTTACGGAAATAGTGAGCTTCGTTGACGCATTGCCAGGGAGAACCTCCAGCGCACGGGGTCGAACCTCAGAGCAAAATCTGTTTCCCTTGAATTCCCCGATAGCCGTGAATGCGTTGCGTTTGCCTTCTCCGGTCCTCATGTCCTCGCTTCCGGTGTATCGTATCACCCTACATGAATTATCAACGAAGTTCATTGGATTACCTATCTTGCGATTGGGTCCACAGCAATACTGAAGTATTAATCTTTCTCCGTTCCACTCGTTTCTGTCCACAGTTGGTTCTTTCGCAGATTGGGCTATCAAAAGCATCAGTCCGCTCTCATCCGACTTGGCTGCAGCCGCATAGGCAATTTCGTTGCAGTCATCTTCCTCCGAAAATTGTATACCCAGAGGGTCGTGGCCCTCATGTCATACGCACGGTATCCATGAGTTGTCATGTACCAATGATTCAAATAATGTGGGCAAAACTTACATCGAATTCCAAGTCCTCAGATCATGGGTACATGCGATCATGTACTCATGTTGTGGATGCATCATATATCATGTCGTATCACATGCTGTATAGTGTATTATGTATACATGTATATACATGCTGGTATGATATATTTATACGATATATCATAGTTTCATACTCCGTTTTCCATGCAAACATGTCGGGGGCGCGCACGCACTTCAACTCCGCGTTCTCGGACGCGCCGCGTCGCAGCCGACCGAGCGGAGGCGGGGTGCGGGTCGAGGATCTAAGGAGATCGAGATTTCCGACTCAGGGTCCAGAGCGTCGACGGGCGCCCCCTCCACGAGCAACCCGCGCCCGCCCTCGGCCAGAACTGCCCGTGACGCGAGGGGGAAAGTGATACATATATATATGTATATATATATATATATATATATATGTACACATATCTGTACACTTATATGTACAAATATAAAAAGCACGCCCTGCAATGTTAAATCGTCGATCCGCTGTCCAACTCGATCGCCTTCCGCTGGTTTCGCGGATCGTCTCGAGGGCCGACGTTGGTCGGGGCTTCGGCGCGCGCGGCGGCGGCGGCGGGCGCCCGGTCAACTGGCGGCTGCGTCGAAACACGTTCGACCAAACAAAGAACAACGGCCGCAGTGCACCGAGGGGGCTGAGGGGTGAGGCCGTTCGAAGAGGAGAAGGGGGCTGCGCCGCGAGCCGCAGGAAAAATCGAAAGGCCTCGAACACGCGCAGGAAGAGGGGGGGGGGCGTATTTTTGTTCTGACGATATGCGTATACGCCCGACCCCCACCCTGTCGCCTTCGCGACGGGACGCACCGCGCCCCTGAGCGCACGGGATGCGCTGGGGGGGGGGGGGGGAGGGGGCCGGATGGGGTTTCGGGTGGGGGGGGAGGGGGTGGGGGGGGGGGGGGAAAGTGCAAGAGACTTAATTTCGACTTCCATGATGTGTTGTTTTCCTCCGCCTCCTGCATCGCCGACTCTTCCCGCCCCGACCCCGGGGGTCTCTGGCGCCCAGCGGCTGTGGAGGATGCATCGAGCACTTGTTGCTGGGCATCGCGTAACATATAAGTTATTGCATGGAGCTGTACAGCGCATCAACCGAAGCCACGGCGCAGATATCTCAGATCGCAGCCCCCCCCCCCCTGTCTCGAAACGCGACCGCGCGCGTGTGGCTGAGGAAAGATTGTGATATATGTGTTTTGGACCCGCGCCATACATGCATGATCATAAGCGTCGCGTTCCCTCGACTTGCTCGCGATCCCCGCGACATTCTCCAGAAATGCGGCGGGGCGCGGTTCCGAGACGGGGCGCAGGGGGGGGGGGCTCGAGGGCGACCTGCAGATGTCGAAACGCAACGAGCGCGGGCAGGCGATGCACGCCTGAAGCGTGAAACTTGCAGTCGGGGGAGACTGGGATCGAGGGTCGAGGGCAAGGAAGGATTGATGTGTGGATCGGGGGCCGAGAGGATGGGGATCGATGGGGAATCGACGATCGAGGAAGATCGAGGATCGACAACGATGAGACCGGGGGCCGAGGAGGCCGTGATCTATAGGAGGCAAGTCGCGAGGAGCAAGGGTCGAAGAGGATCGAGGAGGACGATCGCGAGAACGAGGACATGGGGATCGAGGGCCAAGAAAGAAGGGGGCGCCGACAACCCCCGCGCGCCCGCGGGCGCATTTTTTCGCGCGACATGGATCAAACCGGGACCTCAGCCGCACTAGGACTTCGCTCGCGCTGGTGCGCTGGAACTCCTACCGACGATCGATGGGGATGAGGAAGGAGGGGGGGCAGGAAAGAAGAAGGAGGACGGGGGGGGGCCCCATGAGTTGAAGGAGGAAGGGATGGTATACATGACGCATACATGGGTGTCCGAATGCGGCGCGTCGCACAACAACAGCGCCGCGCCCTCCGCCTCCTGGGGCGCAGGGGCGAAGGGGGAAGCGGCGCGCGCCGCTCAATGGCCCATGGGGCATGCAGACGCTCGCCCCGAGATGGCCCCCCCCCCATCCTCCTCCTCCTCCTCCTCCTCCTATTCCTCCCCCTCCTCCTCCTCCTCCTCCTCCTCCTATTCCTCTGCCTCTTCGTCCCCCTCCCCCTCAGATGTTGCCATGGTGAAACGGGTGCAACATATGGGGCGGCACCCCCCGCCCTCGCGGGGCGGCCTTGCCCCCTGGGCGCGGCGGGGGGGGGGGGGGGAGGGGTCGGAGGCGGCGGCCCCCCCCGCCCTCGCGGGGCGGCTCTGCCGCGTAGGGGGGTCGCGGAGGAGCTTGGAGGTGAGGATCGATGAGGAGGAGGAGGGGCTCGGAGGTGAGGATCGATGAGGATGGGCTCGGAGGCGAGGATCCACGAGGAGGAGCTCGGAGGCGGCGGCCCCCCTGCCCTCGCGGAGCGGCCTTGCCGCGCGCGAAGCGGCGGCCCCCCCCGCCCTCGCGGGGCGGCCTTGCCGCGCACGTGCGAGGATCGAGGAGGGGGGGGGGGGGGGGGGGGGGGGGGGGGGGGGGGGGGGCGCGCTCGGAGGCGGCGGCCCTCCCAGCCCTTGCGGGGCGGCCGACCGCGCGGCGCCGACCCCAGCGACGCACGGGATGACGACTGGAAGAGGGGGCGAGGGGTGGCGAGCTTTCCTCCAAGATCTCGGGGGCCGCTTGATCTTGTCGTGGACGATGAGATCAGACGGCCTTGCAGTTCGATCGGCTCGCCCTCCCATTCGCGCGTTGTCATCGACGCCTGCCATTTTCCGATCCGTCGCTGTCGCTGGGGGGTTGGCGCATATATAGCCACAAATTTGTATATGCACGTTGCCGCGCTCAAAAATTACCTCAAGTATGCGGCCCCCGTCGGCTGGTCGCTCCATCGCGCTGCCCCTGGCGGCCAGCCGACAAAGGCCGCATAGTTGATGTTTTCGTGAGCTCGGCATCTGGCGCGTCCGACTGCACCGCGTCGGTCACGTGGTGGACGCGGCTGGCGATCGCCCGGCGGAGGCGGGGGGGGGGGGGGGGGCGGGGGGGGGCGGGGGGAAGTCAGGCCAGCGCGATTGCCGCTCTCTGCAATGGCGACCTCCATTTCCGCCATCCTCATGCTCATCCTCATTCTCATCCCCATCCCCATCCTCATCCTCGCGGCCCTCCTCCTCCCCCTCCATTCCGTCTCCTTTTCCGCGTGCCCTCCTTCCTTCAGATCTCCTTCCTCTGACCTCCCACCTCGCTTGCAGCCCCCTCCTCGGGTCGCCCTCGACATCGCTCAAACTCTCGCAGCTGCAGGCGGGGGGGGGGGGGCGGACGGGGGCAGAGGAGACAGCGCAATATCAGACTGCGATGAGGTCCGCAGGGGGGAGTTGATGAGACGGAGCGGGGCGACGATTCTCTGCAGCAGCGCGCGGGGGAACTCGGGCGCCCCAAGAGGTGCCATTCACATTGAAGGTCATTTGCATGCAATTAATTTGCATTTGCATTGGCCGACGAAGAGCTCGCCGAAGAATCCAGGCACGCGAAGCTCCAAACGTCCTGGCGAGCCAGGGGGGGGGGAGCATGCGCGCGCGGGGGGTGGGGGGGTGGGAGAGGAGGGTCGGTCCTCAGAGCAGAGGCCGCCTGCGAAAACCGTCCGTGGACTCGAGGTTCCAATGCGCCCTCGAGGGGGGGGGCGGGGGGGGAGGTCGGGGGGGCGGCGGGGAGGGGGGGTGAGGGGGGGGCGAGGAGGGATCAGCTGAACCTGCGGCCGCCAATGTTCGACACCTTCGTGTTCCCCCACCTGTGCCTGACCAGCTGCTTCTCCGCGTCGACCGACGTGTACTCGTTGTCGGTCGTGAGCCATGGGGCCAAGCACTGGTCCAGCAACGTCTGCGGGGGCACCGCCGGCCTAGCTTTGGGCACAAACGAAACTGGCGGAGTGGTTGGACTCGCGCACGCAGCCGTCGGAGAGGTAGGACTTGGCTGCGCCTGTGCTGGCGGTGATGGCGGTACCTCTTGTGCTGGCGGTGCCTCTTGTGCTGGCGGTGCCTCTTGTGCTGGTGGTGCCTCTTGTGCTGGCGGTGCCCCTCGTGCTGGCGGTGCTGGCTGTGCCTTTCGTGCTGGCGGTACTTCTTCTGCTGGCGGTACCTCTTGTGCTGGTGGCAGTACCTGTGCTGGCGGTACCTCTTGTGCTGGTGGCAGTACCTGTGCTGGCAGTACCTGTGCTGGCGGTACCTGTGCTGGCGGTACCTGTGCTGGCAGTACTTCATGTGCTGCTGGCAGTACCTCTTGCGATGGCTGTACTTCTTGAGCTGGCGGTGCTTCTTGAGCTGGCGGTGCCCCTGGCTGTACTTCTTGAGCTGGCGGTGCCTCTTGTGCTGCTGGCTGTACCTGTGCTGGCGGTGCTTCGGCTGGCGGTGCCTCTTGTGCTGCTGGCAGTACCTGTGCTGGCTGTGCTGCTGGCGGGCCGTACGGGTCTTCTTGCACTGGCGGTCCGTCTTCTGATGCAGACGATGAGCCTCGCGCCGCAAATCCTGGCGGCGGCGTCGACGGCGCTCTCGGCGTCAATCGCGGCCGCTTCTTTGGCGCAGGCGGCCGCGGCGGACGCGCAAACCTTCGAGGCGGCACTAATCGAGGTCGAGGCGCCTCGGGCGATCTCGATCGGGTCGGCATGGGCGGCCGCGGGATGCCCTTGAGCCAAAACGGCTACGGACACGTTGGACGCGGGGCCCCTGCGGCAGGACCTGCAGAGCGGCACACTTGCGATCGGGGCCGCGATGGGGGGCCACGCTGGGTGGGTAGAGATAGGGGCACATGGGGATTCGGGAACGGGGTAAGGATGCATCCGGAGGGATAGGGATAAGCGGGATAGGGGATATGGATGCATAGGGACAAGTAGCAGACAGGAGGGACAACCATGCAAGACAGGTCAAGGGTCCAGAAAACTTTGGCATGTATAAACCTTGTCAGCAATCTGTTGATCGCCCCAGGTTGGAATGGGCTTGCTGGGGGACTGGGCGAGGACAGGAGACATAATCGATGGGGGGAGGTCCACGGGGGGATGAGATGAGCTCAGACAAAGAGCGGCGGCGGCGGGGGGGGTATACGCGCGTTCCAAGACGCGCCGCGCGTCTGGGGCAACATCTTGAACATGTGCGTGTGTGTGCGCGTGTGTGTGCGCGTGTGTGTTTGTGTGTGTTTTCCATATTGCATCCATCGGCCTTATTCGGCCGTCTCTCTTTGCTCTGTTCTGCAAGAATTCTGCCCGACTCTGGAAGAATTCTCGCTTCCCTGTTTAGGCTAGCGCTCAAAGCCTAATCAAGATTAGGCCGCGCATCGGATGGGTCCTCGGAGTTGCAGCGCGCGCGCGTTCGTCTGCGCATGCATGGGCGCGCGCGCTGGCCCGGAAGAGGCGCGGGGCAACGCATGTTGAACATGCCTTGGTGCGCGCGCGCACGGGCGCGCCAGCGGGCGCGAACGCGCGCGCGCGAGAAGAAAAACACAAGAGGAAGCCGCTGGCCTCGAGACCAGCTGCGAACAAGGCGATCTGCTCGATGCCATCCGCCAGCAACTCCACGGTCAGATCGCACGCGACACGCCCGCCCCCGCGCTGCACCTCGCCCCTGCCCCCCTTCAATCGATGGGGGGGTGGCGCACTGGGAGCCCGGCAAGCAGCACCGACCGCCATGCGCGCCGAACTGCAACGCGAGCAGCGCATCGCGCAGGGCTCTTCGATCACTTGCGAACCAACAGCTGCGCAGAGTCCGATCGTTCGCCGACCCTCTGACGCGTTGTCGTTACCTCCTCTCTCTCTCTCTCTCTCTCTCTCTCTCTCTCTCTCTCTCGCTCTCGCTCTCGCTCTCGCTCTCTCTCTTTCTCCTCTCTCTCTCTCACTCTCTCTCTCTCTCTCTCTCTCTCTCTCTCTCTCTCTCTTTCTCTC